TGGACTTGATCTCGAAGTTGCCGCGAGCGGCTATATCAAGAAGAGCGCGCACAGTCGGGAGCTTGGCCGTGGGCGAGAATGTTTCGAAGAAGTCGAGATACTCCTTCTGGGTGAAACCCTTCGCCACGTATCATGCCTTGAACAGTGGAGCTTCGCCTGGGAGTTGTTTGACTCGGAAGATCCATTTTCCGCCGACGATGTTGACACCGGAAGGGGGAACAACATCGTCAAAGCTGTTGTTGCGAATGAACGCCTCGTTCTCCATATCCATTGCTGCCTTCCACTCCTTCTTATAAGGCCCCAAGAGAGCTTCCTCTTTTGTGCGAGGAGTCAGAATGGTCGGGTTCTCGGTGAAGTTGAGGGAAGGGCAGTCAGTAATGTCCGGGAAGATGTGAGAGAGAAATTGGCAGACCGCGTGAAGGTCAAACAGCTCCTCATGCCTGTCCTCCAGAAGTGCACGGGGCGGAATACGGATGGAGGGGACATCACCCCCGGCAGGAGGAGGCGGGGTGACCGAACACCTGATGGAGAAGGCGGCTGGTCCCCAGGCGAGAGGCGGAGCCGGTCCCTTGGAACGAGTGCGACTAGAGACCGGAGACGAAGGCGGCTGCGGTGGGACCGGAGGGACTGGGCGCCTCCGATAGGAAACTGGTGAGCCGGGCTCAACGCGCGGGGAAGGCGGAGCAGGAGGAGGTGCCGTTGCGGAGGATACTGGGGAGGCCGGGTGAGACACGCCGGACGGAGAAGGCCCCGGAGAAAGGGCAGCGGCCGGAGGTGGGGCATCGAAGTCTGCCCAAACAAGCGTCGGGGGAGGTGGAGGAGGCTCGCCCGTGGTCGCAGGTGGAATGGGCGTGTCTCATCGAAGACGATATTACGGCTGCGAATCAGCTGTCTGGTGATTGGGTTGAGGAATAAGTAGTCTGGGGAGTCGGAGTTGTGCCCCAGGTACATGCAGGTCTGGGTTTTGGGACCAAGCTTGCCACCTTGCTTCCTGCGCATGTGGGGGCTTAGCAACACATACGCGGTACACCCCCAGACGCGTAGAGAGCGGGCGGAAGGCGTGACCCCAAGCCAGAGAGCGGTAGGTGTGGTGTCGGGCCGGTGGGGATGCGGATAAAGATTGTAGAGGAGTGCCGCATGGAAGAGGGCATATCCCCAGAGTGACCGTGGTGCGTTGGCGTGACTGAGGAGGCAGCGAGCGATCTGAACCAAGGTGTGGTTGCGGCTCTCTGCAATGCCAGTTTGCTGCAATGGAGGCACTTCAGAGGAGTGCCGAACGTGACTTGAACCTGGCCCACCCACGCTATGATGACATCAGGTGCCTCCGCCTTGGTATGCAGGAGATGCACAGAAACATACCGCGAGTGGTCATCGACTAGTGTAAGAAAGTACCGATGACCGCCTCGGGATGTGACTGGAGCTGGGCCCCAGACATCCATGTGCACTAGGTCCAGCGGAGCAGCTGCGACGGATGGGGAGGAAGGGTGCGGCTGCTGCCTGAGCTTGCTCTTGGTGCAGTCCAGGCAGGTGGGTGCAGGTGAGTCTGTTGGTGGAGGAAGCGCCGACGGGAGGCCAAGAAGAAGTTTCTTGGAAGCGATGTCGGCAAATGTACGGAAGTTGGGGTGACCCAAGCGATGGTGGTAGAGGATGGTTGGGTTGGCGAAGCTGCGAAACGAACACGGAGTGGTGTGGCAGCTTGCGCTTGGGAGAGGGCAGCGAGAGGTGCAGGTGAACGCAGCGTGTAGAGCTTGCTGCTGTTGAGTGTGAAGCGTGCTAGGAGCTTGTTGGACTTAGGGTCGAGGAGGTCACAGTGATCCGAGTGTGCTGGGAAGATCGTGGTGACGCCTGCCCGTTGGAGCTCGTGTTGGGCCACGAGATTGTGGCGTAGTGTGGGAACACACATGCCGGTGACACTGCCCGAAGGAAAAGCTGGGCACGGAACTGTGGAGGAGACCTTGGCGTGTGTTGTGAAACTGGAGTCTTCTCCTAGTAGACAGATTGGTGTCTCGTATGGCTTGAAGGAATGTTCTTCCTTGAGAACCGTGTGAGTGGCCCCACTATCGAGGGTGAACTCTATTGTGGCTGAGGTGCTTTGTGAGCCGGGACACTGCGAAATCGTCTCATTAATCATGGCAGTGCCAGGGAACAACATGTGGAGGCGCACATCAGCAGTAGAGCTACAGCAGCCTGCACGGATTCCTGCGCTTCGACTTGATTGACCTTGCGAGGAGCACGATTGACCATCCAGCTTGGCGGCTTCGAGGTGGTCCCATTGACGGCATACCATTCGTCATCCTTTTTCTTGAAGCAGGAGGCAAGGCCGTGGTTGGTGCCGCCACACACCTGGCCAGCACGAGGGCCGCGCTTGATGACGTAGGGACACGGGGGGAAGCGGTTGCGCTGGAATGGCACCGAAGCGGCATAGGCTTGAGGCACGGAGCGCGGATTGCATTGGCCTTGGCTTGAGCGCTGTTGTCCTTTTCGGCAGAAAGGAGCGCGGATGAGACCTTGGCAAATGTGAGGTCTGCAGGAGCAAGGCCCAAGAGCATCTTGCGTGTGACTTCGTATGCCGGGTTGAGGCCGACTAGGAGAGCGGCTGCAGGGGCTTGCTCGGGGAAGACTATCCCCAACTGTTTGAGTTCACCATGAATGGACTGCACCCTGGTGACATAGTCCGCCATGCCTGGCGAGTCCTCGAGCCGCACTTGGAACATGCTGGGGATGAGTATAGCAACTCCCACTGCAGTCTTGTTCAGGAAGCGATCCTCTAGGTAGAGCCAAATGGCGTTGGCAGACGGGTAGTTGTGGTAGGTTTCGACGAGTTCGGGAGGAGTGGTGCCCATGAAGACACTAATGACCGCACCATCTGCCTTCTCCCAATTCTTGTACTTGAGCAGTGCAGCAGCATAAACTGCTTCGGCGGCGGCATTAGCTGGATCGGCGGACCTCTCGGGTTTAGGAGGCTCTTTGCCATCACCGATGTTGAGAAGGACGTCGGTGAGCTCGAGCCCCTTCACCTCGCGACTGAGGAGGTGCTTGTCGACACCATAGCGCCAAGCCTTGTAGTTGGAGGATGTGCCGTCCGACTCGAGACGAAGGAGCGGGATCGGGTTGGCGAGTGAAGTGGTTGAGTAAGCCATTGTCGGTGTTGTTGGTTAGAGATGGCTATAAGCAGATGATTCAATGGCTCCTTGGAAATTTCTGCAGCACTTCGTTATGACGCCCAGAAAACTCGCGACCTTCGAAAAGCTATATCAAAACTCCAATCGGTGAAACAATCTGAAAATCGGATATGTTGTAGCTTGCAGCGTCAGCTTTCCACTGAAAGTTGAATCACTCGATTCCGTAGCTTTCGAGTGAGCTATGGCGATTGGCGCACTGGGGGGTAATCTGCCCTAGGAGAAATTGACAGTCCTCAGAGTCACTATGATTGAAGCTTACAAGTTCAGAGGCATGATAGGAAAGGCATTGAAGCACAGTTGGAAGGTGGGGATGGAAGGGAAGGATGAAAGGGAAGGACCCTGGAGGCCCATGGTCAAGAACATGACAAGAGTCAAAATCTTGACTCCCCATCCTCAGGTTCAGCCAGCCTGGCAAGACAAAATTCACACTGTGCCAGGTTGGCCTCCAAACCCCAAATGCTGCAGCTGCAAGGTGAGGACAAAAGTCCCACACATGCTGGTCCCTCCTCGTTATAGGGCTCTCCAACTTTGGTGTAGCAGCTGCCAAGGACTTCCAATGAGTTGTAACAAATCCATCAAACATTTCTTCGTAACTTCTTCATATGTGCTCCGATTCCAACAATTCTTGGCTCGTTGGAATGTGCTCGATGCCATGCACAATCCAAGCACATCTGCACAAACACAAGATAAACATGCAAAGACATGCAAACCCAACAAACCACACAAACAATGTAGCACACAAAACACATGCAACGGAATGATGCGAACAGACGACAGATGACGTGCAAACGAATATGCACCAACACACTCCCCCTCAGACTGTCGGCTTGTTTCGCCGTCTCTAGTTCAAGGACATTCCCGCCATCCTCGCACATCGCCAGTGTGGCTCTTCAGCTAGCCGCTTGGTAAGGAAGTCGGCTGGCTGTTGCTGAGTTTTCACGTAGATCGGATCCAGTGTCCCAAGCTTCACCTCCTTCCGCAGCCAATGCCACTTGATCCTCATGTGCTTGTTCAACCCATGAAGAACTGCATTGCGTGCCATGGCAATGGCTCCCTTGCTGTCACTGAACAGAGGTGTCGCACAAGTCTGTTCATGGCCGATCTCCTTCAAGAGCCTCCTTAGCCAGATGATTTCTTTTGCCGCATGAAACATCGCCATGTACTCAGATTCCACTGAAGATAGTGCCGTCTCAGACTGCTTCTTGGACCTCCAACTTACAGGCCCACCTCCCACCATGCAGATGTATCCACCAACTGATGATGAATCCTCATGCTCAGAAGCCCATGTGGCATCAGCAAAACAGGAAAGGAACACCTTTCCTTCTCCGAGCTGCTCCCCCTTCTCTTTGAGGACTTCAACTCCCTTTTGCCTGAGTTGAGCAGAGGCTGAATACTGTACTCCCACTGTAGGGTATGACTTGAGGTAGCGCACCACTCTCTCCGCTGCACCATACTGCTCTTCTGTTGGATTTTGCACTACTCGAGCCAGCTGTCCCACAGCAAAGCTGATGTCAGGCCGAGTATGCACAGCAGCGTAGAGTAGGCTCCCGACCATGGATTGGAATTGCCTCTGGTCTTCACTCTCAACTCCTTCTCCTTCAGCTGCCTTTATGAGTTTGAACTCGGAAGGCAAAGGTGTAACCACTTCCCGTTCTTCCTGCAGAGAGTACTTCTCAGCAAGGTGTTGATGTACTGTCCCTGATGCAGTTTGAGCCAGCCACGTTCAGTATCCCGCTCAATGTGCATTCCCAGGTAGTACCTTGCCTCTCCAAGTGACTTGCACTGAACTGCTCTGTGAGCTTCCGCTGCACTCCATCGATCTCCTTGTCACTGCTGCTGAAGAGCAGGATGTCATCCACGTACACCAGCAGAAGCACAAGCGACTCCCCCTCGCCCATCAGGAATAGGCTCTCGTCGCATGCACTCGCACGGAATCCAATCCCTTCCATGCACTGGCCAGCCTGTTGTACCAGCATCTCGGGGCCTGCTTCAAGCCATAGATGGCCTTGTTAAGTTTGCAGACACGACCGGTTCCATCCTCATAGCCAGGTGGTTGAACCATGTACACCTCCTCTTCCACTATGCCGTACAGAAAAGCGGTTACGATGTCCATCTGCTTCATCTTCCATTTGCGCACAGCAGCTACCGCCAGCAGCACACGTAGCGTTGGAGACTTAGCAGTTGGAGCAAACACTTCTTTGTAGTCTTCCTTCTCTTTCTGCTGAAACCCCTTTGCCACCAGCCTGCTCTTGTAAACTGATGGCTCTCCTTTCTCATCCGTCTTGATTTTTGCCAGCCACTTGCACTGTATAGCCTTCTTCCCATTTGGCAAGTTTACCAGGTCCCATGTGTGATTCTCCATCTGGCTGTTGTACTCTGCATCTCTCGAAACGAGCCACTTCCCCCGTTGAGGCCCGGCTAGCGCATGATCCATGCTCGGAGGTTGTACTGGTGCGTAAAAGCAGTATGCAGGCTCCTCGTCATCTGACTCTTGGTCATCACCCAAGAACAGCACTGCATCTTCGCCTTGAGCCTGTTGCTGTTGCTCAGTTGTGGCTCCTCCACTTGTAGAGCTCAGCAGCTTTCTCGTTGCCATTCTGGTACGTGCAGGGTAGGTGGCTGGATTTACCCATTCTTTCACCTTCACCCAATCCTTTGTCCCCCCACCAATCTGTTTCCTTCGCTTTGGCAGACTTGGTGTTTTGGAAGCCTCTTGCTGCTGCTGCTCCGGATCCTTGACTTCAGCATCAGCTGCAATATCCTCATTGCTTCCTTCATCAGTACCGCTTGCCGTTTGCGCAGTGACTTCGCTATCCTCAGGTTCGGACAAATCGAAGTGCATAGTGATCTCTTCCAGCTGCTGAGTGACCCTTGCCTCGGCTGCTTCTCCCACTTGCCATATATGATGTTTCTCCACAAATTTGACATCCCGACCGTCAAACAACACATTCTTTGAGGACTCTCAGAGTAGCCACCCCTTGCTCCCTGCCGCAAGCCCAAGGTGCACACACCACAGTGCAGATGCTCCAAGCTTTGTCCTGTACGGTTTAGGGACATGCGCCACAGCCATGCATCCGAACATCTAAGCATGTCCACTGGAGGCTTCTTTCCAAGCCACCTCTCCAGCGGCACCCACATATCATCAGCCACCTTTATGAGTACGCGGTTCCTTGCCACTGTAGCATGCCTCACCGCATGAGGCCACATGGAGTTTCCCAGCCCTGATTCGATCAGCAGCGCTCGCGCAGTTTCCAGGATGGTCCTATTAGCCCTCTCAGCAACGCCATTTGACTGAGGGGTATAGGACGTCGTTAGCTGATGCTCAATGCCTTGTTTCTTGAGCCACGCAGTCAGATCTCCTCCTAGAAACTCTCCACCTCGGTCGGTTCTGATGCTCTTGCATGGGTGCCCAGATTGTCGCTCGACGAACGGGAGCCAGTCATCTCGTATTGTTGAGGCAGCATGATCCTTCTGCTTCAACGGGTATACCCACATCAGCCGACTCCAGTCATCAACTATTGTTAGGAAGTATCTTTCCCCCTTCTTTCCTTGAACTGGAAAGGTCCTACCAGGTCCATGTGCACCAGTTCCAGTGCTGCCTTGCTTTTCCCAGCTTACGCCGTGAAAGGGGAACCGTTGTGAACTTGCTCAGCAGACACGTCTCGCACTTGGTATCATTTGGTTGCCCAGAAAGCTTCAGCCCCTTTACTGCTTCTTCCTTATGCAGTTGCTGCAGCAATGGCATGGCCACATGCCCTAGACGCCTGTGTGCGGTTTCCCAATCAGTCTCCCCCAACCTTGCAGAAACTATCACTCCTGCAGCACTAACTGCATTGCACTCCCCCTGGACTCCAGATCCCGCCTTTACTGCTCCCACCTCCTTCTTTGTTGATTCCCATATCAGCGCAGGGATCTGCCACATGGATCTCAAGACATCTCTGCTTTCGTGTAAATCCCATAGCACACGATCTCCTCGCAGCCCCTTGAATGTTTTGGATCCATTTGGTGGTGGTGCTGACTCCGGCCTGGCCTAGCTTGCGCAGCGATATCAGATTGGCCTTCAGCCCCGGTACGAGTAACACGTCCTTCAGCACAACCAGTCCACCATCAGGTGCTCTGAATGCAGCTCGACCAACTCCAGCGACCTTCACTGCATGTCCGGATGCTGAGCGCACTTCGGAGATTGGAGGCGCTCGCACAGCATCCAGCAAGTCTTTGCGTGGTGTCATTGTCCAGGCAGCACCAGAGTCCATGACCCACATGTCAAGCGGGTGCAATTCCTCTCCAGCCCTTGCAACAGCTGTGCCACTGTCATCTTTGTCACACACATGGTAGAACTGGTCCAAGCATTCCTCTCCTCATTTCCCATTCCTCTGTCATCCTTGGAGGTTTCTTCAGCAGGATCAGCTACCATGTTGGCACCTCCATGTGGTTGCTTTCCTCCATTCCCCTTTTGCGATTGGTTCCAAGGGGTCCACCAGTCGGGCTTGGTAGAGCAGCGAAACCATGGATGCCCTTCTTCCTTGCAATACCAGCACTCTCCCCTCAAGCTGGTTCACTGTTGTCATTGTTGGAGTGACCACCTCTTCCTCTTGCACCAGCGCCACCACGCCCCTGCTGGTTCCAAGTCCCGCGACCACCTTGGTTGTAGTAAGAGCGACCGCGATTGCCACGCCCTCGATCCCTCCATGTCCCTTGCATGGCATAGCCGCTGGTGCTGTCATCACCTCCGCGCAGTGTATAGCGACGAAAATCTTCTTCCAGAATCTTGGTGCGAATCCACTCCAATGTCCATTGACTTTGGTTTTGTGGCAAGCTGAGTCCGCTTATAAATGCAGCCAAGACTCGGGCAGGCAGGCTGAGCATCTTGAGACACTTAGTCTGCTCGGGGTACGTGATGCCAGCAATCGCCAATTTCGCGTAGAGTTCCCTCATCTTGTCCAGTACGGGCTGCACAGGTTCATTCTCGCTCAACCGCAGCATGGACAGCTCCCGATCCACCATGAGAGAAGCGGCAATCGATGTCGGAGCGTGCAGGTCCTTGAGCACTGCCCATGCCTTGGGCCCACAATCAGTTTCCGGCAGCAGATGCATGATGTGATGCCTCTGGTTCAGCTCCAAGCTTTGTGACAGTAGATAATACCCAGCAGATGAACGTTCATCCCAGTCCGCTCGCTCTGCCATTTCCTTTGGCCTGGGCTCCGTTCCAATCATGAGCTTCAAGAGGCCAATTTGTCGAAAGTAGAGCTGCATCTTCCCATGCCCAATCATCATAGCCATCTCCAAAGAACTTCTCAATGGTGAAGTTCTTCAGCACCTCCTTAAGCAGTGACCCCTGGCTTGTACGCCTCCCCTTTGCGCTGCAATGCCAGAATCTTGGGTTGAGCTGCCTCCTTGGACTGAAGTATCACCTCCACCAGAGTCCTCCTTATCTCCCATCGTATTTTAGGTCCCAAATGCTTGATAATGGGCTCTGATACCACTTGTTGGTTAGAGAAGGCTATAAGCAGATGATTCAATGGCTCCTTGGAAATTTCTGCAGCACTTCGTTATGACGCCCAGAAAACTCGCGACCTTCGAAAAGCTATATCTAAAAACTCCAATCGGTGAAACAATCTGAAATCGGATATGTTGTAGCTTGCAGCGTCAGCTTTCCACTGAAAGTTGAATCACTCAATTCCGTAGCTTTTCGAGTGAGCTATGGCGATTGGCGCACTGGGGGTAATCTGCCCTAGGAGAAATTGACAGTCCTCAGAATCACTATGATTGAAGCTTACAAGTTCAGAGGCATGATAGGAAAGGCATTGAAGCACAGTTGGAAGGTGGGGATGGAAGGGAAGGATGAAAGGGAAGGACCCTGGAGGCCCTTGGTCAAGAACATGACAAGAGTCAAAATCTTGACTCCCCATCCTCAGGTTCAGCCAGCCTGGCAAGACAAATTCACACTGTGCCAGGTTGGCCTCCAAACCCCAAATGCTGCAGCTGCAAGGTGAGGACAAAAGCCCACACATGCTGGTCCCTCCTCGTTATAGGGCTCTCCAACTTTGGTGTAGCAGCTGCCAAGGACTTCCAATGAGTTGTAACAAATCCATCAAACACCTCTTCGTAACTTCTTCATATGTGCTCCGATTCCAACAATTCTTGGCTCGTTGGAATGTGCTCGATGCCATGCACAATCCAAGCACATCTGCACAAACACAAGATAAACATGCAAAGACATGCAAACCCAACAAACCACACAAACAATGTAGCACACAAAACACATGCAACGGAATGATGCGAACAGACGACAGATGACGTGCAAACGAATATGCACCAACACACTCCCCCTCAGACTGTCGGCTTGTTTCGCCGTCTCTAGTTCAAGGACATTCCCGCCATCCTCGCACATCGCCAGTGTGGCTCTTCAGCTAGCCGCTTGGTAAGGAAGTCGGCTGGCTGTTGCTGAGTTTTCACGTAGATCGGATCCAGTGTCCCAAGCTTCACCTCCTTCCGCAGCCAATGCCACTTGATCCTCATGTGCTTGTTCAACCCATGAAGAACTGCATTGCGTGCCATGGCAATGGCTCCCTTGCTGTCACTGAACAAAGGTGTCGCACAAGTCTGTTCATGGCCGATCTCCTTCAAGAGCCTCCTTAGCCAGATGATTTCTTTTGCCGCATGAAACATCGCCATGTACTCAGATTCCACTGAAGATAGTGCCGTCTCAGAATGCTTCTTGGACCTCCAACTTACAGGCCCACCTCCCACCATGCAGATGTATCCACCAACTGATGATGAATCCTCATGCTCAGAAGCCCATGTGGCATCAGCAAAATAGGAAAGGAACACCTTTCCTTCTCCGAGCTGCTCCCCCTTCTCTTGAGGACTTCAACTCCCTTTTGCCTGAGTTGAGCAGAGGCTGAATACTGTACTCCCACCGTAGGGTATGACTTGAGGTAGCGCACCACTCTCTCCGCTGCACCATACTGCTCTTCTGTTGGATTTTGCACTACTCGAGCCAGCTGTCCCACAGCAAAGCTGATGTCAGGCCGAGTATGCACAGCAGCGTAGAGTAGGCTCCCGACCATGGATTGGAATTGCCTCTGGTCTTCACTTTCAACTCCTTCTCCTTCAGCTGCCTTTATGAGTTTGAACTCGGAAGGCAAAGGTGTAACCACTTCCCGTTCTTCCTGCAGAGAGTACTTCTCAGCGAAGGTGTTGATGTACTGTCCCTGATGCAGTTTGAGCCAGCCACGTTCAGTATCCCGCTCAATGTGCATTCCCAGGTAGTACCTTGCCTCTCCAAGTGACTTGCACTCGAACTGCTCTGTGAGCTTCCGCTGCACTCCATCGATCTCCTTGTCACTGCTGCTGAAGAGCAGGATGTCATCCACGTACACCAGCAGAAGCACAAGCGACTCCCCTCGCCCATCAGGAATAGGCTCTCGTCGCATGCACTCGCACGGAATCCAATCCCTTCCAATGCACTGGCCAGCCTGTTGTACCAGCATCTCGGGGCCTGCTTCAAGCCATAGATGGCCTTGTTGAGTTTGCAGACACGACCGGTTCCATCCTCATAGCCAGGTGGTTGAACCATGTACACCTCCTCTTCCACTATGCCGTACAGAAAAGCGGTTACGATGTCCATCTGCTTCATCTTCCATTTGCGCACAGCAGCTACCGCCAGCAGCACACGTAGCGTTGGAGACTTAGCAGTTGGAGCAAACACTTCTTTGTAGTCTTCCTTCTCTTTCTGCTGAAACCCCTTTGCCACCAGCCTGCTCTTGTAAACTGATGGCTCTCCTTTCTCATCCGTCTTGATTTTTGCCAGCCACTTGCACTGTATAGCCTTCTTCCCATTTGGCAAGTTTACCAGGTCCCATGTGTGATTCTCCATCTGGCTGTTGTACTCTGCATCTCTCGAAACGAGCCACTTCCCCCGTTGAGGCCCGGCTAGCGCATGATCCATGCTCGGAGGTTGTACTGGTGCGTAAAAGCAGTATGCAGGCTCCTCGTCATCTGACTCTTGGTCATCACCCAAGAACAGCACTGCATCTTCGCCTTGAGCCTGTTGCTGTTGCTCAGTTGTGGCTCCTCCACTTGTAGAGCTCAGCAGCTTTCTCGTTGCCATTCTGGTACGTGCAGGTAGGTGGCTGGATTTACCCATTCTTTCACCTTCACCCAATCCTTTGTCCCCCCACCAATCTGTTTCCTTCGCTTTGGCAGACTTGGTGTTTTGGAAGCCTCTTGCTGCTGCTGCTCCGGATCCTTGACTTCAGCATCAGCTGCAATATCCTCATTGCTTCCTTCATCAGTACCGCTTGCCGTTTGCGCAGTGACTTCGCTATCCTCAGGTTCGGACAAATCGAAGTGCATAGTGATCTCTTCCAGCTGCTGAGTGACCCTTGCCTCCGGCTGCTTCTCCCACTTGCCATATATGATGTTCTCCACAAATTTGACATCCCGACCGTCAAACAACACATTCTTTGAGGACTCTCAGAGTAGCCACCCCTTGCTCCCTGCCGCAAGCCCAAGGTGCACACACCACAGTGCAGATGCTCCAAGCTTTGTCCTGTACGGTTTAGGGACATGCGCCACAGCCATGCATCCGAACACTCTAAGCATGTCCACTGGAGGCTTCTTTCCAAGCCACCTCTCCAGCGGCACCCACATATCATCAGCCACCTTTATGAGTACGCGGTTCCTTGCCACTGTAGCATGCCTCACCGCATGAGGCCACATGGAGTTTCCCAGCCCTGATTCGATCAGCAGCGCTCGCGCAGTTTCCAGGATGGTCCTATTAGCCCTCTCAGCAACGCCATTTGACTGAGGGGTATAGGACGTCGTTAGCTGATGCTCAATGCCTTGTTTCTTGAGCCACGCAGTCAGATCTCCTCCTAGAAACTCTCCACCTCGGTCGGTTCTGATGCTCTTGCATGGGTGCCCAGATTGTCGCTCGACGAACGGGAGCCAGTCATCTCGTATTGTTGAGGCAGCATGATCCTTCTGCTTCAACGGGTATACCCACATCAGCCGACTCCAGTCATCAACTATTGTTAGGAAGTATCTTTCCCCCTTCTTCCTTGAACTGGAAAGTCCTACCAGGTCCATGTGCACCAGTTCCAGTGCTGCCTTGCTTTTCCCAGCTACGCCGTGAAAGGGGAACCGTGTGAACTTGCTCAGCAGACACGTCTCGCACTTGGTATCATTTGGTTGCCCAGAAAGCTTCAGCCCCTTTACTGCTTCTTCCTTATGCAGTTGCTGCAGCAATGGCATGGCCACATGCCCTAGACGCCTGTGTGCGGTTTCCCAATCAGTCTCCCCCAACCTTGCAGAAACTATCACTCCTGCAGCACTAACTGCATTGCACTCCCCCTGGACTCCAGATCCCGCCTTTACTGCTCCCACCTCCTTCTTTGTTGATTCCCATATCAGCGCAGGGATCTGCCACATGGATCTCAAGACATCTCTGCTTTCGTGTAAATCCCATAGCACACGATCTCCTCGCAGCCCCTTGAATGTTTTGGATCCATTGGTGGTGGTGCTGACTCCGGCCTGGCCTAGCTTGCGCAGCGATATCAGATTGGCCTTCAGCCCCGGTACGAGTAACACGTCCTTCAGCACAACCAGTCCACCATCAGGTGCTCTGAATGCAGCTCGACCAACTCCAGCGACCTTCACTGCATGTCCGGATGCTGAGCGCACTTCGGAGATTGGAGGCGCTCGCACAGCATCCAGCAAGTCTTTGCGTGGTGTCATTGTCCAGCAGCACCAGAGTCCATGACCCACATGTCAAGCGGGTGCAATTCCTCTCCAGCCCTTGCAACAGCTGTGCCACTGTCATCTTTGTCACACACATGGTAGAACTGTCCAGCATTCCTCTCCTCATTTCCCATTCCTCTGTCATCCTTGGAGGTTTCTTCAGCAGGATCAGCTACCATGTTGGCACCTCCATGTGGTTGCTTTCCTCCATTCCCCTTTTGCGATTGGTTCCAAGGGTCCACCAGTCGGGCTTGGTAGAGCAGCGAAACCATGGATGCCCTTCTTCCTTGCAATACCAGCACTCTCCCCTCAAGCGTGGTTCACTGTTGTCATTGTTGGAGTGACCACCTCTTCCTCTTGCACCAGCGCCACCACGCCCCCGCTGGTTCCAAGTCCCGCGACCACCTTGGTTGTAGTAAGAGCGACCGCGATTGCCACGCCCTCGATCTCTCCATGTCCCTTGCATGGCATAGCCGCTGGTGCTGTCATCACCTCCACGGAGTGTATAGCGACGAAAATCTTCTTCCAGAATCTTGGTGCGAATCCACTCCAATGTCCATTGACTTTGGTTTTGTGGCAAGCTGAGTCCGCTTATAAATTGCAGCCAAGACTCGGGCAGCAGGCTGAGCATCTTGAGACACTTAGTCTGCTCGGGGTACGTGATGCCAGCAATCGCCAATTTCGCGTAGAGTTCCCTCATCTTGTCCAGTACGGGCTGCACAGGTTCATTCTCGCTCAACCGCAGCATGGACAGCTCCCGATCCAGCATGAGAGAAGCGGCAACCGATGTCGGAGCGTGCAGGTCCTTGAGCACTGCCCATGCCTTGGGCCCACAATCAGTTTCCGGCAGCAGATGCATGATGTGATGCCTCTGGTTCAGCTCCAAGCTTTGTGACAGTAGATAATACCCAGCAGATGAACGTTCATCCCAGTCCGCTCGCTCTGCCATTTCCTTTGGCCTGGGCTCCGTTCCAATCATGAGCTTCAAGAGGCCAATTTGTCGAAAGTAGAGCTGCATCTTCCATGCCCAATCATCATAGCCATCTCCAAAGAACTTCTCAATGGTGAAGTTCTTCAGCACCTCCTTAAGCAGTGACCCCTGGCTTGTACGCGCTCCCCTTTGCGCTGCAATGCCAGAATCTTGGGTTGAGCTGCCTCCTTGGACTGAAGTATCACCTCCACCAGAGTCCTCCTTATCTCCCATCGTATTTTAGGTCCCGAATGCTTGATAATGGGCTCTGATACCACTTGTTGGTTAGAGAAGGCTATAAGCAGATGATTCAATGGCTCCTTGGAAATTTCTGCAGCACTTCGTTATGACGCCCAGAAAACTCGCGACCTTCGAAAAGCTATATCTAAAACTCCAATCGGTGAAACAATCTGAAAATCGGATATGTTGTATCTTGCAGCGTCAGCTTTCCACTGAAAGTTGAATCACTCAATTCCGTAGCTTTTCGAGTGAGCTATGGCGATTGGCGCACTGGGGGTAATCTGCCCTAGGAGAAATTGACAGTCCTCAGAATCACTATGATTGAAGCTTACAAGTTCAGAGGCATGATAGGAAAGGCATTGAAGCACAGTTGGAAGGTGGGGATGGAAGGGAAGGATGAAAGGGAAGGACCCTGGAGGCCCTTGGTCAAGAACATGACAAGAGTCAAAATCTTGACTCCCCATCCTCAGGTTCAGCCAGCCTGGCAAGACAAAATTCACACTGTGCCAGGTTGGCCTCCAAACCCCAAATGCTGCAGCTGCAAGGTGAGGACAAAAGCCCCACACATGCTGGTCCCTCCTCGTTATAGGGCTCTCCAACTTTGGTGTAGCAGCTGCCAAGGACTTCCAATGAGTTGTAACAAATCCATCAAACACCTCTTCGTAACTTCTTCATATGTGCTCCGATTCCAACAATTCTTGGCTCGTTGGAATGTGCTCGATGCCATGCACAATCCAAGCACATCTGCACAAACACAAGATAAACATGCAAAGACATGCAAACCCAACAAACCACACAAACAATGTAGCACACAAAACACATGCAACGGAATGATGCGAACAGACGACAGATGACGTGCAAACGAATATGCACCAACACACTCCCCCTCAGACTGTCGGCTTGTTTCGCCGTCTCTAGTTCAAGGACATTCCCGCCATCCTCGCACATCGCCAGTGTGGCTCTTCAGCTAGCCGCTTGGTAAGGAAGTCGGCTGGCTGTTGCTGAGTTTTCACGTAGATCGGATCCAGTGTCCCAAGCTTCACCTCCTTCCGCAGCCAATGCCACTTGATCCTCATGTGCTTGTTCAACCCATGAAGAACTGCATTGCGTGCCATGGCAATGGCTCCCTTGCTGTCACTGAACAAAGGTGTCGCACAAGTCTGTTCATGGCCGATCTCCTTCAAGAGCCTCCTTAGCCAGATGATTTCTTTTGCCGCATGAAACATCGCCATGTACTCAGATTCCACTGAAGATAGTGCCGTCTCAGACTGCTTCTTGGACCTCCAACTTACAGGCCCACCTCCCACCATGCAGATGTATCCACCAACTGATGATGAATCCTCATGCTCAGAAGCCCATGTGGCATCAGCAAAATAGGAAAGGAACACCTTTCCTTCTCCGAGCTGCTCCCCCTTCTCTTTGAGGACTTCAACTCCCTTTTGCCTGAGTTGAGCAGAGGCTGAATACTGTACTCCCACCGTAGGGTATGACTTGAGGTAGCGCACCACTCTCTCCGCTGCACCATACTGCTCTTCTGTTGGATTTTGCACTACTCGAGCCAGCTGTCCCACAGCAAAGCTGATGTCAGGCCGAGTATGCACAGCAGCGTAGAGTAGGCTCCCGACCATGGATTGGAATTGCCTCTGGTCTTCACTTTCAACTCCTTCTCCTTCAGCTGCCTTTATGAGTTTGAACTCGGAAGGCAAAGGTGTAACCACTTCCCGTTCTTCCTGCAGAGAGTACTTCTCAGCGAAGGTGTTGATGTACTGTCCCTGATGCAGTTTGAGCCAGCCACGTTCAGTATCCCGCTCAATGTGCATTCCCAGGTAGTACCTTGCCTCTCCAAGTGACTTGCACTCGAACTGCTCTGTGAGCTTCCGCTGCACTCCATCGATCTCCTTGTCACTGCTGCTGAAGAGCAGGATGTCATCCACGTACACCAGCAGAAGCACAAGCGACTCCCCCTCGCCCATCAGGAATAGGCTCTCGTCGCATGCACTCGCACGGAATCCAATCCCTTCCAATGCACTGGCCAGCCTGTTGTACCAGCATCTCGGGGCCTGCTTCAAGCCATAGATGGCCTTGTTGAGTTTGCAGACACGACCGGTTCCATCCTCATAGCCAGGTGGTTGAACCATGTACACCTCCTCTTCCACTATGCCGTACAGAAAAGCGGTTACGATGTCCATCTGCTTCATCTTCCATTTGCGCACAGCAGCTACCGCCAGCAGCACACGTAGCGTTGGAGACTTAGCAGTTGGAGCAAACACTTCTTTGTAGTCTTCCTTCTCTTTCTGCTGAAACCCCTTTGCCACCAGCCTGCTCTTGTAAACTGATGGCTCTCCTTTCTCATCCGTCTTGATTTTTGCCAGCCACTTGCACTGTATAGCCTTCTTCCCATTTGGCAAGTTTACCAGGTCCCATGTGTGATTCTCCATCTGGCTGTTGTACTCTGCATCTCTCGAAACGAGCCACTTCCCCCGTTGAGGCCCGGCTAGCGCATGATCCATGCTCGGAGGTTGTACTGGTGCGTAAAAGCAGTATGCAGGCTCCTCGTCATCTGACTCTTGGTCATCACCCAAGAACAGCACTGCATCTTCGCCTTGAGCCTGTTGCTGTTGCTCAGTTGTGGCTCCTCCACTTGTAGAGCTCAGCAGCTTTCTCGTTGCCATTCTGGTACGTGCAGGGTAGGTGGCTGGATTTACCCATTCTTTCACCTTCACCCAATCCTTTGTCCCCCCACCAATCTGTTTCCTTCGCTTTGGCAGACTTGGTGTTTTGGAAGCCTCTTGCTGCTGCTGCTCCGGATCCTTGACTTCAGCATCAGCTGCAATATCCTCATTGCTTCCTTCATCAGTACCGCTTGCCGTTTGCGCAGTGACTTCGCTATCCTCAGGTTCGGACAAATCGAAGTGCATAGTGATCTCTTCCAGCTGCTGAGTGACCCTTGCCTCCGGCTGCTTCTCCCACTTGCCATATATGATGTTCTCCACAAATTTGACATCCCGACCGTCAAACAACACATTCTTTGAGGACTCTCAGAGTAGCCACCCCTTGCTCCCTGCCGCAAGCCCAAGGTGCACACACCACAGTGCAGATGCTCCAAGCTTTGTCCTGTACGGTTTAGGGACATGCGCCACAGCCATGCATCCGAACACTCTAAGCATGTCCACTGGAGGCTTCTTTCCAAGCCACCTCTCCAGCGGCACCCACATATCATCAGCCACCTTTATGAGTACGCGGTTCCTTGCCACTGTAGCATGCCTCACCGCATGAGGCCACATGGAGTTTCCCAGCCCTGATTCGATCAGCAGCGCTCGCGCAGTTTCCAGGATGGTCCTATTAGCCCTCTCAGCAACGCCATTTGACTGAGGGGTATAGGACGTCGTTAGCTGATGCTCAATGCCTTGTTTCTTGAGCCACGCAGTCAGATCTCCTCCTAGAAACTCTCCACCTCGGTCGGTTCTGATGCTCTTGCATGGGTGCCCAGATTGTCGCTCGACGAACGGGAGCCAGTCATCTCGTATTGTTGAGGCAGCATGATCCTTCTGCTTCAACGGGTATACCCACATCAGCCGACTCCAGTCATCAACTATTGTTAGGAAGTATCTTTCCCCCTTCTTTCCTTGAACTGGAAAGGTCCTACCAGGTCCATGTGCACCAGTTCCAGTGCTGCCTTGCTTTTCCCAGCTACGCCGTGAAAGGGGAACCGTGTGAACTTGCTCAGCAGACACGTCTCGCACTTGGTATCATTTGGTTGCCCAGAAAGCTTCAGCCCCTTTACTGCTTCTTCCTTATGCAGTTGCTGCAGCAATGGCATGGCCACATGCCCTAGACGCCTGTGTGCGGTTTCCCAATCAGTCTCCCCCAACCTTGCAGAAACTATCACTCCTGCAGCACTAACTGCATTGCACTCCCCCTGGACTCCAGATCCCGCCTTTACTGCTCCCACCTCCTTCTTTGTTGATTCCCATATCAGTGCAGGGATCTGCCACATGGATCTCAAGACATCTCTGCTTTCGTGTAAATCCCATAGCACACGATCTCCTCGCAGCCCCTTGAATGTTTTGGATCCATTGGTGGTGGTGCTGACTCCGGCCTGGCCTAGCTTGCGCAGCGATATCAGATTGGCCTTCAGCCCCGGTACGAGTAACACGTCCTTCAGCACAACCAGTCCACCATCAGGTGCTCTGAATGCAGCTCGACCAACTCCAGCGACCTTCACTGCATGTCCGGATGCTGAGCGCACTTCGGAGATTGGAGGCGCTCGCACAGCATCCAGCAAGTCTTTGCGTGGTGTCATTGTCCAGGCAGCACCAGAGTCCATGACCCACATGTCAAGCGGGTGCAATTCCTCTCCAGCCCTTGCAACAGCTGTGCCACTGTCATCTTTGTCACACACATGGTAGAACTGTCCAGCATTCCTCTCCTCATTTCCCATTCCTCTGTCATCCTTGGAGGTTTCTTCAGCAGGATCAGCTACCATGTTGGCACCTCCATGTGGTTGCTTTCCTCCATTCCCCTTTTGCGATTGGTTCCAAGGGGTCCACCAGTCGGGCTTGGTAGAGCAGCGAAACCATGGATGCCCTTCTTCCTTGCAATACCAGCACTCTCCCCTCAAGCGTGGTTCACTGTTGTCATTGTTGGAGTGACCACCTCTTCCTCTTGCACCAGCGCCACCACGCCCCCGCTGGTTCCAAGTCCCGCGACCACCTTGGTTGTAGTAAGAGCGACCGCGATTGCCACGCCCTCGATCTCTCCATGTCCCTTGCATGGCATAGCCGCTGGTGCTGTCATCACCTCCACGGAGTGTATAGCGACGAAAATCTTCTTCCAGAATCTTGGTGCGAATCCACTCCAATGTCCATTGACTTTGGTTTTGTGGCAAGCTGAGTCCGCTTATAAATTGCAGCCAAGACTCGGGCAGCAGGCTGAGCATCTTGAGACACTTAGTCTGCTCGGGGTACGTGATGCCAGCAATCGCCAATTTCGCGTAGAGTTCCCTCATCTTGTCCAGTACGGGCTGCACAGGTTCATTCTCGCTCAACCGCAGCATGGACAGCTCCCGATCCAGCATGAGAGAAGCGGCAACCGATGTCGGAGCGTGCAGGTCCTTGAGCACTGCCCATGCCTTGGGCCCACAATCAGTTTCCGGCAGCAGATGCATGATGTGATGCCTCTGGTTCAGCTCCAAGCTTTGTGACAGTAGATAATACCCAGCAGATGAACGTTCATCCCAGTCCGCTCGCTCTGCCATTTCCTTTGGCCTGGGCTCCGTTCCAATCATGAGCTTCAAGAGGCCAATTTGTCGAAAGTAGAGCTGCATCTTCCATGCCCAATCATCATAGCCATCTCCAAAGAACTTCTCAATGGTGAAGTTCTTCAGCACCTCCTTAAGCAGTGACCCCTGGCTTGTACGCGCTCCCCTTTGCGCTGCAATGCCAGAATCTTGGGTTGAGCTGCCTCCTTGGACTGAAGTATCACCTCCACCAGAGTCCTCCTTATCTCCCATCGTATTTTAGGTCCCAAATGCTTGATAATGGGCTCTGATACCACTTGTTGGTTAGAGAAGGCTATAAGCAGATGATTCAATGGCTCCTTGGAAATTTCTGCAGCACTTCGTTATGACGCCCAGAAAACTCGCGACCTTCGAAAAGCTATATCTAAAACTCCAATCGGTGAAACAATCTGAAAATCGGATATGTTGTAGCTTGCAGCGTCAGCTTTCCACTGAAAGTTGAATCACTCAATTCCGTAGCTTTTCGAGTGAGCTATGGCGATTGGCGCACTGGGGGGTAATCTGCCCTAGGAGAAATTGACAGTCCTCAGAATCACTATGATTGAAGCTTACAAGTTCAGAGGCATGATAGGAAAGGCATTGAAGCACAGTTGGAAGGTGGGGATGGAAGGGAAGGATGAAAGGGAAGGACCCTGGAGGCCCTTGGTCAAGAACATGACAAGAGTCAAAATCTTGACTCCCCATCCTCAGGTTCAGCCAGCCTGGCAAGACAAAATTCACACTGTGCCAGGTTGGCCTCCAAACCCCAAATGCTGCAGCTGCAAGGTGAGGACAAAAGCCCCACACATGCTGGTCCCTCCTCGTTATAGGGCTCTCCAACTTTGGTGTAGCAGCTGCCAAGGACTTCCAATGAGTTGTAACAAATCCATCAAACACCTCTTCGTAACTTCTTCATATGTGCTCCGATTCCAACAATTCTTGGCTCGTTGGAATGTGCTCGATGCCATGTACAATCCAAGCACATCTGCACAAACATAAGATAAACATGCAAAGACATGCAAACCCAACAAACCACACAAACAATGTAGCACACAAAACACATGCAACGGAATGATGCGAACAGACGACAGATGACGTGCAAACGAATATGCACCAACAAGTGTGCAGCGCGGCACTTCTGGAAATTGGTCGACGAGAATTGCTGAAAATCACTCTGACGGCTTTATCAAAATGCCGCTAAGTAGGTGTTGGTTAGAGAAGGCTATAAGCAGATGATTCAATGGCTCCTTGGAAATTTCTGCAGCACTTCGTTATGACGCCCAGAAAACTCGCGACCTTCGAATAGCTATATCAAAAACTCCAATCGGTGAAACGATCTGAAAATCGGATATGTTGTAGCTGGCAGTGTCAGCTTTCCACTGAAAGTTGAATCACTCGATTCCGTAGCTAAACGAGTGAGCTATGGCGTTTGGCGCACTGGGGGGTAATCTGCCCTAGGAGAAGTTGACAGTCCTCAGAGTCACTATGATTGAAGCTTACAAGATCAGAGGCATGATAGAAAAGGCATTGAAACACAGTTGGAAGGTGGGGTAGGAAGTGAAGGATGAAAGGGAAGGACCCTGGAGGCCCATGGTCAAGAACATGACAAGAGTCAAAGTTTTGACTCCCCATCCTCAGGTTCAGCCAGCCTGGCAAGACAAATTTCACACTGTGCCAGGTTGGCCTCCAAACCCCAAATGCTGCAGCTGCAAGGTGGGGACAAAAGTCCCACACATGCTGGTCCCTCCTCGTTATAGGGCTCTCCAACTTTGGTGTAGCAGCTGACAAGGACTTCCAATGAGTTGTAACAAATCCATCAAACATTTCTTCGTAACTTCTTCATATGTGCTCCGATTCCAACAATTCTTGGCTCGTTGGAATGTGCTCGATGTCATGCACAATCCAAGCACATCTGCACAAGCACAAGATGAACATGCAAAGACATGCAAACCCAACAAACCATACAAACAACGTAGCACACAAAACACATGCAAACGAAATGATGCGAACAGACGACAGGATGACGTGCAAATGAATATGCACCAACACACTCCCCCTCAGACTGTCGGCTTGTTTCGCCGTCTCTAGTTCAAGGACATTCCCGCCATCCTCGCACAGCGCCAGTGTGGCTCTTCAGCTAGCCGCTTGGTAAGGAAGTCGGCTGGCTGTTGCTGAGTTTTCACGTAGATCGGATCCAGTGTCCCAAGCTTCACCTCCTTCCGCAGCCAATGCCACATGATCCTCATGTGCTTGTTCAACCCATGAAGAACTGCATTGCGTGCCATGGCAATGGCTCCCTTGCTATCACTGAACAGAGGTGTCGCACAAGTCTGTTCATGGCCGATCTCCTTCAAGAGCCTCCTTAGCCAGATGATTTCTTTTGCCGCATGAAACATCGCCATGTACTCAGATTCCACTGAAGATAGTGCCGTCTCAGACTGCTTCTTGGACCTCCAACTTACAGGCCCACCTCCCACCATGCAGATGTATCCACCAACTGATGATGAATCCTCATGCTCAGAAGCCCACGTGGCATCAGCAAAACAGGAAAGGAACACCTTTCCTTCTCCGAGCTGCTCCCCCTTCTCTTTGAGGACTTCAATTCTTTTTTGACTGAGTTGAGCAGAGGCTGAATACTGTACTCCCACTGTAGGGTATGACTTGAGGTAGCGCACCACTCTCTTCGCTGCACCACACTGCTCTTCTGTTGGATTTTGCACTACTCGAGCCAGCTGTCCCACAGCAAAGCTGATGTCAGGCCGAGTATGCACAGCAGCGTAGAGTAGGTTCCCGACCATGGATTGGAATTGCCTCTGGTCTTCACTCTCAACTCCTTCTCCTTCAGCTGCCTTTATGAGTTTGAACTCGGAAGGCAAAGGTGTGACCACTTCCCGTTCTTCCTGCAGAGAGCACTTCTCAGCCAAGGTGTTGATGTACTGTCCCTGATGCAGTTTGAGCCAGCCACGTTCAGTATCCCGCTCAATATGCATTCCCAGGTAGTACCTTGCCTCTCTAAGTGACTTGCACTTGAACTGCTCTGTGAGCTTCCGCTGCACCCCATCGATCTCCTTGTCACTGCTGCTGAAGAGCAGGATGTCATCCACGTACACCAGCAGAAGCACAAGTGACTCCCCCTCTCCCATCAGGAACAGGCTCTCGTCGCATGCACTCGCACGGAATCCAATCCCTTCCAGTGCACTGGCCAGCCTGTTGTACCAGCATCTCGGGGCCTGCTTCAAGCCATAGATGGCCTTGTTAAGTTTGCAGACACGACCGGTTCCATCCTCATAGCCAGGTGGTTGAACCATGTACACCTCCTCTTCCACAATGCCGTACAGAAAAGCGGTTACGATGTCCATCTGCTTCACCTTCCATTTGCGCACAGCAGCTACCGCCAGCAGCACACGTAGCGTTGGAGACTTAGCAGTTGGGGCAAACACTTCTTTGTAATCTTCCTTCTCTTTCTGCTGAAACCCCTTTGCCACCAGCCTGCTCTTGTAAACTGATGGCTCTCCTTTCTCATCCGTCTTGATTTTTGCCAGCCACTTGCACTGTATTGCCTTCTTCCCATTTGGCAATACACCAGGTCCCATGTGTGATTCTCCATCTTGCTGTTGTACTCTGCATCTCTTGAAACGAGCCACTTCCCCCGTTGAGGCCCGGCTAGCGCATGATCCATGCTCGGAGGTTGTATTGGTGCGTAAAAGCAGTATGCAGGCTCCTTGTCATCTGACTCTTGGTCATCACCCAAGAACAGCACTGCATCTTCGCCTTGAGCCTGTTCCTGCTGCTCAGTTGTGGCTCCTCCACTTGTGGAGCTCAACAGCTTTCTCATTGCCATTCTGGTACGTGCAGGGTAGATGGTTGGATTTACCCATTCTTTCACCTTCACCCAATCCTTTGTCCCCCCACCAATCTGTTTCCTTCGCTTTGGCAGACTTGGTGTTTTGGAAGCCTCTTGCTGCTGCTGCTCCGGATCCTTGACTTCAGCATCAGCTGCAATATCCTCATTGCTTCCTTCATCAGTACCGCTTGCCGTTGGCGCAGTGACTTCGCTGTCCTCAGGTTCGGACAGATCGAAGTGCATAGTGATCTCTTCCAGCTGCTGGGTGACCCTTGCCTCCGGCTGCTTCTCCCACTTGCCATACATGATGTTCTCCACCAATTTGACATCCCGACTATCAAACAGCACATTCTTTGAGGGCTCCCAGAGTAGCCACCCCTTGCTCTCTGCCGCAAGCCCAAGGTGCACACACCAAAGTGCAGATGCTCCAAGCTTTGTCCTGTACGGTTTAGGGACATGCGCCACTGCCATGCATCCGAACACTCGAAGCATGTCCACTGGAGGCTTCTTTCCAAGCCACCTCTCCAGCGGCACCCACATATCATCAGCCACCTTTGTGAGTACGCGGTTCCTTGCCACTGTAGCATGCCTCACCGCATGAGGCCACATGGAGTTCCCCAGCCCTGATTCGATCAGCAGCGCTCGCGCAGTTTCCAGGATGGTCCTATTAGCCCTCTCAGCAACGCCATTTGACTGAGGGGTATAGGACGTCGTTAGCTGATGCTCAATGCCTTGTTTCTTGAGCCACGCAGTCAGATCTCCTCCTAGAAACTCTCCACCTCGGTCGGTTCTGATGCTCTTGCATGGGTGCCCAGATTGTCGCTCGACGAACGGCAGCCAATCATCTCGTATTGTTGAGGCAGCATGATCCTTCTGCTTCAACGGGTATGCCCACATCAGCCGACTCCAGTCATCAACTATTGTCAGGAAGTACCTTTCCCCCTTACTTCCTCGGACTGGAAAAGGTCCTACGAGGTCCATGTGCACCAGTTCCAGTGCTGCCTTGCTTTTCCCAGCTACGCCGTGAAAGGGGAACCGTGTGAACTTGCTCAGCAGACACGTCTCGCACTTGGTAGCATTTGGTTGCCCAGAAAGCTTGAGCCCCTTTACTGCTTCTTCCTTATGCAGTTGCTGCAGCAATGGCATAGCCACATGCCCTAGACGCCTGTGTGCGGTTTCCCAATCAGTCTCCCCCGACCTTGCAGAAACCGTCACTCCTGCAGCACTAACTGCATTACACTCCCCCTGGACTCCAGAACCCGCCTTTACTTCTCCCAACTCCTTCTTTGTTGATTCCCATATCAGTGCAGGGATCTGCCACATGGATCTGAAGACATCTCTGCTTTCGTGTAAATCCCATAACACACGATCTCCTCGCAGCCCCTTGAATGTTTTGGATCCATTGGTGGTGGTGCTGACTCCGGCCTGGCCTAGCTTGCGCAGCGATATCAGGTTGGCCTTCAGCCCCGGTACGAGTAACACATCCTTCAGCACAACCAGTCCACCATCAGGTGCTCTGAATGCAGCTCGACCAACTCCAGCGACCTTCACTGCATGTCCGGATGCTGAGCGCACTTCAGAGATTGGAGGCGCTCGCACAGCATCCAGCAAGTCCTTGCGTGGTGTCATTGTCCATGCAGCACCAGAGTCCATGACCCACATGTCAAGCGGGTGCAATTCCTCTCCAGCCCTTGCAACAGCTGTGCCACTGTCATCTTTGTCACACACATGGTAGAACTGTCCAGCATTCCTCTCCTCATTTCGCATTCCTCTGTCATCCTTGGAGGTTTCTTCAGCAGGATCAGCTACCATGTTGGCACCTCCATGTGGTTGTTTTCCTCCATTCCCCTTCTCCGATTGGTTCCAAGGGGTCCACCAGTCGGGCTTGGTAGGGCAGCGAAACCATGGATGCCCTTCTTCCTTGCAATACCAGCACTCTCCCCTCAAGCGTGGTTCACTGTTGTCATTGTTGGAGTGACCACCTCTTCCTCTTGCACCAGCGCCACCACGCCCCCGCTGGTTCCAAGTCCCGCGACCACCTTGGCTGTGGTAAGAGCGACCGCGATTGCCACGCCCTCGATCCCTCCATGTCCCTTGCATGGCATAGCCGCTGGTGCTGTCATCACCTCCGCGCAGTGTATAGCGACGAAAATCTTCTTCCAGAATCTTGGTGCGAATCCACTCCAATGTCCATTGACTTTGGTTTTGTGGCAAGCTGAGTCCGCTTATAAATTGCAGCCAAGACTCCGGCAGCAGGCTGAGCATCTTGAGACACTTTGTCTGCTCTGGGTACGTGATGCCTGCAATCGCCAATTTCGCGTAGAGTTCCCTCATCTTGTCCAGTACGGGCTGCACAGCTTCATTCTCGCTCAACCGCAGCATGGACAGCTCCCGATCCAGCATGAGAGAAGCGGCAACCGATGTCGGAGCGTGCAGGTCCTTGAGCACTGCCCATGCCTTGGGCCCACAATCAATTTCCGGTAGCAGATGCATGATGTGATGCCTCTGGTTCAGCTCCAAGCTTTGTGACAGTAGATAGTACCCAGCAGATGAACGTTCATCCCAGTCCGCTTGCTCTGCCATTTCCTTTGGCCTTGGCTCCGTTCCAATCATGAGCTTCAAGAGGCCAATTTGTCGAAAGTAGAGCTGCATCTTCCATGCCCAATCATCATAGCCATCTCCAGAGAACTTCTCAATGGTGAAGTTCTTCAGCACCTCCTTAAGCAGTGACCCCTGGCTTGTACGCGCTCCCCTTTGCGCTGCAATGCCAGAATCTTGGGTTGAGCTGCCTCCTTGGACTGAAGTATCACCTCCACCAGAGTCCTCTTTATCTCCCATCGTATTTTAGGTCCCAAATGCGTGATAATAGGCTCTGATACCACTTGTTGGTTAGAGAAGGCTATAAGCAGATGATTCAATGGCTCCTTGGAAATTTCTGCAGCACTTCGTTATGACGCCCAGAAAACTCGCGACCTTCGAATAGCTATATCAAAAACTCCAATCGGTGAAACGATCTGAAAATCGGATATGTTGTAGCTGGCAGTGTCAGCTTTCCACTGAAAGTTGAATCACTCGATTCCGTAGCTAAACGAGTGAGCTATGGCGTTTGGCGCACTGGGGGGTAATCTGCCCTAGGAGAAGTTGACAGTCCTCAGAGTCACTATGATTGAAGCTTACAAGATCAGAGGCATGATAGAAAAGGCATTGAAACACAGTTGGAAGGTGGGGTAGGAAGTGAAGGATGAAAGGGAAGGACCCTGGAGGCCCATGGTCAAGAACATGACAAGAGTCAAAGTTTTGACTCCCCATCCTCAGGTTCAGCCAGCCTGGCAAGACAAATTTCACACTGTGCCAGGTTGGCCTCCAAACCCCAAATGCTGCAGCTGCAAGGTGGGGACAAAAGTCCCACACATGCTGGTCCCTCCTCGTTATAGGGCTCTCCAACTTTGGTGTAGCAGCTGACAAGGACTTCCAATGAGTTGTAACAAATCCATCAAACATTTCTTCGTAACTTCTTCATATGTGCTCCGATTCCAACAATTCTTGGCTCGTTGGAATGTGCTCGATGTCATGCACAATCCAAGCACATCTGCACAAGCACAAGATGAACATGCAAAGACATGCAAACCCAACAAACCATACAAACAACGTAGCACACAAAACACATGCAAACGAAATGATGCGAACAGACGACAGGATGACGTGCAAATGAATATGCACCAACAGTAGGAAATAGCGTCGGCGAAAATTCGTTAAAACGCCGACTTGAAACTGAATCTGAGCCTATGTCTAACCCCGGACCCACACACCCCCCCACACACCCCCAGGCCCTGTCCCGCAGCTACACAGCTCCGCAACCAGCTCCGCAACCAGCTCCGCAACCAGCTCCGCAACCAGCTCCGCTCCGCTTCAACCTGTGTACCTGCTCTTGCTTGACGCGAGACGTTCGTGGAGGCGATTTCGCGAGGGGAGTTCGCCTATTCTGGCGGGGTCTAATGGGAAACTCGAGAACGAGTTTTAAGAGATGGTCGAAATTGAGATTCGACCAAGGAGAACCGAGGAGGAAATCGACGATGAGAAGCGTGAATGCTTCAGAGATGAGAAATTCAACGAGGTCGAGTGCGAAGGCGGTCGACGATGAGAGGCGCGACTGCAGAGTGGAGCACGTCGAAATTCCGACGATTCGAAACGAATGTCACGACGATGAAGTGCGCGTAGCGCGGGCACGTTGAGATTAGGACCTCGATCCGCGTGTGCGGATAGGTCGCTCTGATACCATGTAAGAAATAGAGTTGAAATGATTGATTAGGTAAGGAGCCCAAGGCTCTATAAGTACATGGCAAGGTGAGAGAGAATGGATGAAGGGGCAATTGGAGGGAATCCCCATTGGGATTTCCGGAATCTCCAATTGGGTAATTGGAGATTGGGGGGATCACAATTGGGTGAGGTTGGGATTTGTGAGTACACCCCAACCCACTAGAACATTCATCACCTAAACTAGGATATAAAAGTACAAATACAAAAGTGGTGTTTGCAGTCTATTTCTAACAGTAACGAGAGAGGACACTAACCGGGTAAGCCAAGTCTGGTCAAGTGCACATCATGGCATACATCACTGAACCGACTAGCTCAGGGTACAGGTCCTTGCAGGCGTCAGGAGAAGGAATCGGAGGGGCCGTCAGCTGATGCTGTAGTGGGAGTGGAGTGGAGACAAAGTTACTGGAGTCCATGTCGAACCGCTTGAGAAAGTTGTCGATGTAGGACTGGGAGAGGGTGATCGCGCAAGGCTGGCAGTCACGAGTGATCTCCATCCCCAGGGCATTCCATGTGAACATCCTCCTTGAGCTGGCCTTGGAGAAAAGCGGAGGAGGCGTCCATGGACTTGATCTCGAAGTTGCCGCAAGTGGCTATATCAAGAACCGCGCACAGTCGGGAGCTTGGTCGTGGGCGAGAAGGTTTCGAAAAAGTTGAGATACTCCTTCTGGGTGAAACCCTTTGCCACGTAACTTGCCTTGAACAGTGGAGTGGAGGCCTTGGAGTTGTTTGACTCGGAAGATCCATTTTCCGCCGACGATGTTAACACCGGAAGGGGGAATGACATCGTCAAAGCTGTTGTTGCGAATGAACGCCTCCTTCTCCAAATCCATTGCTGCCTTCCATTCCTTCTTATAAGGCCCCAAGAGAGCTTCCTCTTTTGTGCGAGGAGTCGGAATGGTCGGGTTCTCGGTGAAGCTTGAGGGAAGGGCAGTCAATAATGTCCGGGAAGATGTGAGAGAGAAATTGGCAGACCGCGTGAAGGTCAAACAGCTCCTCATGCCTGTCCTTGAGAGGTGCACGGAGGGGCAATACGGATGGAGGGGACATCACCCCTGGCAGGAGGAGGCGGGGTGACCGAACACCGGATAGAGAAGGCGGCTGGTCCCCATGCGAGAGGCGGAGCCGGTCCCTTGGAACTAGTGCATATAGAAACCGGAGACGAAGGTGGCTGCGGGGGGACCGGAGGGACTGTGCATCTCCGGTAGGAGACTGGTGAGCCGGGCTGGACGCGCGGGGAAGGCATGTTGTGTGATGTCATCATATGCTATCACATTCTGTCTGCCTCCCATCCCATGTTTTCAACTTGCATGTGTGGTTTGAATGTGCAAGCATTTGTGTGTGGTGTGTTCTGGAGTTTGGGAATGTGTTTTGTGTTATTTTTGTTTGAGCAGGTATTTGTGATGATAGATCTTGAGAAGATCTTTCCGACGCAACAAGAATCGCTTCAATCGGAGCAAGAACGCGAAAGCTATGAAGATTCAAAGTTCATGAGCTTGCGTTACAATTGCGGCGGTTACAAAGTGAAGTTGTGGGGTGACTTTATATGGAGTTGGGACCTTTGGGGTTGGGGAAATTTGTCACTCTACTGTAACAGCTGCAAATTGGTTGGGAACAACCAAGCTAGGTTGGCAAGGGTGGCCAACTTGGATGGATTGGTTGGGAAGGGACAAATGTCAAAATTGGGGTTCCTATAGGGAGGGAATCTTTGTGCTTATGGGGTTTCCTTGGTTGGGGACTCTCTTGGGACCTTCCCTCTCGTTCCTCTCTTTCTATCCCAACCTTTTCTCTTGCTCCTCAAAAAAATTCCTTGTGAGATTCTTGAACTTTGATTGAACTCTTGAGATTGAGTTAAGTTCTCCTCCTACAGCTTACCCCCTAGTGCGTCGAAAGCCATAGCGTCGCGAATACTCCATCAATCAACATGATTTAAATTGGGAACGGTAGCTGAGATTAAGAGCTACAACATATCCGAGTTTCGCGACATTCCAACAGCTAGTTTTTCATCGACGTCGTTTCTTGTGAAGACGACTTTTCTGTCCAGAATTTCGGATTTATATTTTGAGTAATTCTAGCTCCTAAGTTCACCTAGACTCCGTCCTTAATCCTAACAAGTGGTATCAGAGCAATATTAAAGACATTGAGAGGAGTCTACAGAAGTTTGAAGACCCTTGTAGACCCACCATGGCCTGTGGGTGTGCCTAAGTGGTGTTCTAAAGGTTGGATGTGTCTTCCGCTAAGGGGAAACTCTGCCGAAATTTCGTGGACGCCGACACTTGTGAAAATATCGAGGGAGCTGAGTGTGGACAGCAAAGGGGAGCTGAAATTCGTCATTTCTCAAGGAGAAGATGAATGAGAGAGGAGGAGATGCTAATGGAAGAGGAGCTGTAGCTGAGAAGACAAGTGAGCCGCCGCCATCAAAAGTTGAAGCTTTGGATGGCTCCAACTATGAGGAATGGAGCGGGCGGATGAGGAGTGCCTTCAAACGCTACAAGCTCCTGAAGATTACTGTTGGGGAAGAGAAGATGCCGGAGGAAAGCGAAGCACGCGAACGGTGGATTGAGAAAAGCGCGGTGCTTTTCGACCTCATCCTTCAATCGGTCAACAAGGAGATGTTCGAGCACATCAAGGATCTTGTGGAAGCGGATGATTCGGGTCCAAGGGCGTGGAAACTACTACGTGATGTGATTCAGCCCAACACTCTCCCAATGGTGATCGTGCTCGAGAAGGAACTTGCTGCCATCTCCATGCGACCAGGGGACGATGTGAAGCCGGTCCTTGACAAGATCAAGGACACCTATGCAAGGATGGCAGCAGCGGGCAGCAGTGTATCTCAGCTGCAGCAGTGCACCAAGATCATCTCGGTGTTGGACAACTCTTGGGACAACCTCATCCCCACCCTCAACTCTCAGCAAGATCAATGGACACCTGAGTGGCTAAGGCAGCAGATTCTGCAGGAGGACTTCCGCAGACGCCATATGGGAGGCGGTGCTGCCACTAAGACTGCTGAGGGGTATGGAGCTGCAGGGCGCGGCAGAGGAAGAGGGGGTTGGAGAGGCCGAGGCCGTGGGAGGAGCTTTGGCAGAGGTAGAGGCCGAGGTGACTATAATGAGGGGCATGGAAGCTCCAGTGGCAGGGGGAGTACCAGAATGGAGGGCACCTGCTGGTACTACAAGAAGGTCGGGCATCCTTGGTTCAAGTGCTTCAGCAGGCCGGAGGGATGGGCACCTCCAGGCATGAAGCCGCCCAGTGGTGAACGCGCACAAGGTGGCGCTGTGCAAGGCTCAGGTGCACAAGGTGAAGGTGCACAAGGAAATGCCTATCCTGGTTTGTTTCTTATGGTTGAGGATGTGCATGGGCATGAGGGTGATGTGGGATCTGTGGGAAAGGTTGTGATGCACCCTCTCACACACTGGGTGATTGATTCAGGTTGCACCAGTCACATGACCCCACGGTCAGATTTGCTTGATGAGGTAAAACCCCCTGGGAAGATCAAGTATGTGGCAGCAGCGTCAGGTGCTTTGCTCCCTGTCATTGGTGTTGGAAATGCCAAGGTTAAGGGAGCTAATGGGGAGGTTGTGGGGCTTGGGAATGTTCTGCTGGTTGAAGGCTTGTCTGCTAACCTTCTCTCTGTGCGACGACTGCAGAAGAGCAAGGCCGAAGTGACCTTTGGACCAACCAGCTGCCGTGCTAAGCTTGGGAAGAAGGTGCTGTGGAGTCTGGAAGAGGAGACCAGCTGCATCAAGGACCTGTGGCAGCTGCCCATCATCCCATGGAATGGGAAGACTCCAACAGCAGCAACGGCAGCAGCGGCAAAGGCAACAGCAGGAGGAGATGCAACTGCACCAACTGATGGGGTCCTGGAAGCAGTCAAGAAAGTGCAGCAGCAGCAGACACATGGTGAGGTGCTTGCTGGTGTGGATGCGAGTGCGGCATGGGCTAAGGCTTCATCAAAGAGTGGAGAGGCCGATTGGGAGACATGGCATGAGAGGCTGTGTCATGTGAACTTCCCTATGCTGCAGAAGTTGGTGAAGGATGGGAGCCTGAAGGGCTTGGAGGTGAAAGGGGGAGTGAAGGAGATTGGGAGCTGCCCTACATGCTTGGAGACCAAGTTCTCCAAGTTCCCCTTCAACAGCACTACAGGACCAGCCAAGACCCCACTTGCACTTGTGCACATGGATGTGGTGGGGCCCACAAGAGCCCCTTCCCTCTCAGGCAGCCGCTATTTTTTGACAATTGTAGATGACCACACTCGGGCAGTGTGGGGTTACCCTTTGAAGAGCAAGGGGGAGGTGGCAGCGGCTGTCCTTAAGGAGTGGATGCCTAGAGCTCAGAGGGAATGCGGACACAAGGTGAAGGTGATCCGTAGTGACAATGGTGGGGAGTTCATTGGAGCTGATTTTGAGGGGGAGTTGAAGAGGAAGGGGATCCAACATCAACTGACAGTGCCCTACAACCCGCAGCAGAATGGCGTGGCTGAGAGGTTCAACAGGACCCTGCAGGAGGGGGCACGCACTCTCCTTGGGCGTGCAGGGCTGCCTGATCCGTTTTGGGTGTCTGCACTGAGGCAGGTCGCCCTTGTGAAGAACATGGTGCTGGCTACAGTTGGAGATAAGGAGTGGATCCCATATGTCAAGTGGTATGGGAGTGCTCCAGCTGTGAACATGCTGAGGGCATTTGGGTGCATGGTGGTGTTTCATGTGCCTAAGGAGAAAAGGGGGAAGTTGGAGGCTTCTGGAAGATGGGGTGTGCACTTGGGGATTGCAAAGGATCACAAGGGGTGGCTGCTATGGGACTTGACCACCCAGAAGTTGACAGTGTCAAGGGATGTGAAGTTTCTTGAGTCCCTGTACTACAAGGAATGGAAGCAGCAGCAACAGAAGCTTCCATCTACACCGCTCATTGTGGAGGCAGATGAGGTGCAGCAGCCTTCAAGACAGGTGGAGGTTGCAGTGTCAGAGGAGGAGATGTCTGGGGTGACTGAGGAAGGGGGAGCAGCTGAAGTAGAGCAGCAACAGCAGCAGCAGCAGCAGCATGAGTCTCCACCTCGAGTTCCACACCCGCCTGAGCGACCTAGGAGGGATGTGCGCCCTCCAGTGAGGCTGACCTATGGGGGAAGAGGCAAGCCGAATGTGGTGCAGGCTGGGAGTGTGGTTGAGCAGATTGAGGAAGATGAGATCGCTCACTGCTACTGGGCACCAATCCCTGAGCCCAAGACTCGAGAGGAGGCTTTGAATGGACCAAATGGGGAGAAGTGGAAGGCGAGTGAGGATGAGGAGTTCGGGTCCCTAATTGAGAACGAGACATGGGACCTGTGTGACTTGCCTCCTGGAAAGAAGGCAATCACTTCCAAGATGATCTACAGGCACAAGTATGGACCTGAAGGGGAGCTGACCCGCTACAAGTCTAGGCTTGTGGCACGGGGGTTTCAGCAGACAAAGGGGAAGGACTATGATGAGGTGTTTGCTCCTGTGGGGAAAGGAACAACACTGAGGGTGCTGTTGGCGATAGCTGCACTCCTGGGATGGAAGATTCGGCAGATGGATATTGTGACTGTCTTTCTGAATGGGATCATTATGGAGGAGGTGTACATGAAGCAGCCAGAGGGGCTGGATGACGGGAGCGGCAGGGTCTGCAGGCTGAAGAAGGCCATCTATGGCCTTAAGCAGGCGCCTCGTGCATGGTATCACAAGTTGGAGGAGGCGCTGTTGGCTGGGGGTTTCAAGAAGAGTGAGTGTGACCCCAGCCTGTTCCTGCTGCAGGAGAAGGATGAAATCCTCATGCTCTTGGTGTACGTGGATGATATCCTTCTCTTTTCTGCATCAACTGCTTTGCTGGACAGCGCAGAGCAGATGCTGGAGATGCAGTTCAAGTGTTCCAAGATGGGTGAGGTGAAGTACTACTTGGGGATGCATGTGGAGAGAGATGTGGAGAAGGGTGTGCTGAGGTTGCACCAGAAGAAGTACTGTGAGGGGCTGGCTGAGAAGTATGGGCTGCAAGATGGGGGAAAGCCAGCAACACCACTACCTTCAGGGTTTACTGTGGGGCCATGTGCTGATGAGGAGGTAGTGGGTAAGAGTGACAGGAAGCTGTTTCATTCGATGGTTGGGTCGCTGAATTATGCTGCAAATCATACACGGCCTGACATTGCATTTTCTACATCACGGTTGGCTAGTGTGGTCTCACGCCCTAGTCATGAGCAGCTGGAAGCGGCCAAGAGGTTGGTCCGCTATGTGAGTGCTACGGCATCAGTGGGATTGGAGTACAGTGGAGTGAGGCAGCGGTTGCAGAGAGGTGCTGCAGATGTGAAGAGTGGAGAGATGCTCTTGAGTTGCTATACTGACGCTAGCTTCAACTCAGTGAAAGCGGATGGCACCAGCATTGGGGGTTATGTGTGCTTGCTAGGAGGTGGTGCTGTGAGCTGGCGCAGCAAGAAGCAGAATGAGGTGGGATTGTCCTCATGTGAGACTGAGTACATGGCCTTACACCATGGGGCCAAGGAAGTGGTATGGCTGAGGCGTTTGTTGGAGGAGTTGGGAGTTGGTCAGGAGGAGCCGACAGTTGTGTTCTGTGACAATGAGTCTGCTGTGAAGCTCGCCAAGAATGCTTGTCTGCATGGGCTGACAAAACACATAAGGCCTAAGTGGCACTGGGTGAGGAGACTCCTTGATAAGGAGGTGCGGCTGGAGATAGTGAAGACCCATCAGCAGGCAGCAGATATTTTCACTAAGCGTCTCGCGGAGGCGGATCATTGGAAGGGCATGAAGCTTGCTGGGATGAGTGTGCATTGAGTATGCATGCTTGAGATGTTGGTATGGTGGATGATGGTTGGCAGCCAGAGGGGGAGATTGTTGTGTGATGTCATCATATGCTATCACATTCTGTCTGCCTCCCATCCCATGTTTTCAACTTGCATGTGTGGTTTGAATGTGCAAGCATTTGTGTGTGGTGTGTTCTGGAGTTTGGGAATGTGTTTTGTGTTATTTTTGTTTGAGCAGGTATTTGTGATGATAGATCTTGAGAAGATCTTTCCGACGCAACAAGAATCGCTTCAATCGGAGCAAGAACGCGAAAGCTATGAAGATTCAAAGTTCATGAGCTTGCGTTACAATTGCGGCGGTTACAAAGTGAAGTTGTGGGGTGACTTTATATGGAGTTGGGACCTTTGGGGTTGGGGAAATTTGTCACTCTACTGTAACAGCTGCAAATTGGTTGGGAACAACCAAGCTAGGTTGGCAAGGGTGGCCAACTTGGATGGATTGGTTGGGAAGGGACAAATGTCAAAATTGGGGTTCCTATAGGGAGGGAATCTTTGTGCTTATGGGGTTTCCTTGGTTGGGGACTCTCTTGGGACCTTCCCTCTCGTTCCTCTCTTTCTATCCCAACCTTTTCTCTTGCTCCTCAAAAAAATTCCTTGTGAGATTCTTGAACTTTGATTGAACTCTTGAGATTGAGTTAAGTTCTCCTCCTACAGCTTACCCCCTAGTGCGTCGAAAGCCATAGCGTCGCGAATACTCCATCAATCAACATGACTTAAATTGGGAATGGTAGCTGAGATTAAGAGCTACAACATATCCGAGTTTCGCGACATTCCAACAGCTAGTTTTTCGTCGACGTCGTTTCTTGTGAAGACGACTTTTCTGTCCAGAATTTCGGATTTATATTTTGAGTAATTCTAGCTCCTAAGTTCACCTAGACTCCGTCCTTAATCCTAACAAGGCAGAGAAGAAGGAGGTGCTGCTGCGGAGGATACCGGGGAGGCCGAGTGAGACACGCTGGATGAAGAAGGCCCTAGAGAAGGAGCAGCGGCCGGAGGTGGGGCATCAAAGTCTGCCCATACAAGCGTCGGGGGAGGTGAAGGAGGCTCGCCTGTGGTCGCAGAGTGGAAGGGGCGTGTCTCATCAAAGATGATATCATGGCTGCGAATCAGCTGTCTGGTGATGGGGTTGAGGAATAAGTAGTCTGTGGAGTCGGAGTTGTGCCCCAGGTACATGCAGGTCTGGGTTTTGGGACCAAGCTTGCCACCTTGCTTCCTGTGCGTGTGGGGGCTCAGCAACACATATGCGGTACACCCCCAGATACGTAGAGAGTGGGCGGAAGGCGTGGCCCCAAGCCAGAGAGTGGTAGGTATGGTGTCGGGCCGGTGGGGATGAGCATAAAGATTCTAGAGGAGAGCCGCATGGAAGAGGGCATATCCACAGAGTGACCTTGGTGCATTGGCGTAACTGAATATGCAGCGAGCGATCTGAACCAAGGTGTGGTTGCGGCTCTCTGCATTGCCGTTCTACTGTGGGCTTTCAGGGAGCGTGAAGGTTGCCGAATCCCTTGGGCCGTGCAGAAGTTATCGATTTTGCCATTGCGAAATTCTCCCCCGCCATCAGAATGGAGGCACTTCAGAGGAGTGCCGAACGTGACTTGAGCCTGGCGCACCCATGCCATGATGACGTCAGGTGCCTCCGCCTTGGTATGCAGGAGGTGCACGGAAACATACCGCTAGTGGTCATCAACTAGTGTAAGAAAGTACCGATGACCGCCACGGGATGCGACTGGAGCTGGGCCCCAGACATCCATGTGCACTAGGTCCAGCGGAGCAGCTGCGACGGATGGGGAGGAAGGGTGGGGCTGCTGCCTGAGCTTGCTCTTGGTGCAGTCCAGGCAGGTGGGTGCAGGTGAGTCTGTTGGTGGAGGAAGCGCCGACGGGAGGCCCAGAAGAAGTTTCTTGGAAGCGATGTCAGCAAGTGTACGGAAGTTGGGGTGACCCAAGCGATGGTGGTAGAGGATGGTTGGGTTGGCGAAGCTGCGACACGAACACGGAGTGGTGCTGGCAGCTTGCGTTTGGGAGAGGGCGGCGAGAGGTGCAGGTGAACGCAGCGTGTAGAGCTTGCTGCTGTTGAGTGTGAAGCGTGCTAGGAGCTTGTTGGACTTAGGGTCGAGGAGGTCATAGTGATCCGAGTGTGCTGGGAAGATCGTGGTGACGCCTGCCCGTTGGAGCTCGTGTTGGGCCACGAGATTTTGGCGTAGTGTGGGAACACACATGCCGGTGACACTGCCCGAAGGAAAAGCTGGGCACGGAACTGTGGAGGAGCCCTTGGCGTGTGTTGTGAAACTGGAGTCTGCTCCTAGTAGACGGATTGGTGTCTCGTATGGCTTGAAGGAGTGTTCTTCCTTGAGAACCGTGTAAGTGGCCCCACTGTCGAGGGTGAACTCTATTGTGGCTGAGGTGCTTTGTGAGCCGGGACACTGCGAAATGTTGAGAACAACATGTTGAGGCGCACATCAGCAGGGGGAGCTACAGCAGCCTGCACGGATTCGTGCGCTTCGACTTGATTGACCTTGCGAGGAGCACGATTGACCATCCAGCTTGGTGGCTTCGAGGCGGTCCCATTAACGGCATACATCATCCTTCTTCTTGAAGCAGGAGGTGATGGCGTGGTTGGTGCCGCCACACACCTGGCCGGCACGAAGGCCGCGCTTGATGACGTAGGGATACGGGGGAAAGCGGTTGCGCTGGAATGGTGCCGAAGCGGCATAGGCTTGAGGCACGGGAGCGCGGATTGCATTGGCCTTGGCTTGAGCACTGTTGTCATTTTCGGCAGAAAGGAGCGCGGATGAGACCTTGGCAAATGTGAGGTCCGCAGGAGCAAGACCCAAGAGCATCTTGCGTGTGACTTCGTATGTCGGAAAAAGGGCGACTAGGAGAGCGGCTGCAGGGGCTTGCTCGGGGAAGACTATCCCCAACTGTTTGAGTTGACCATGAATGGACTGTATTAGAAATAGATTTCAAATCCTACTTTTGTAGTTGTACTTTTATATTCTAGATTAGGTTAGGAATGTTTTAGTGGGTCGGGGTGTACTCACTAAATCCCAACCTCACCCAATTGTGATCCCCACAATCTCCAATTACCCAATTGGAGATTCCGGAGATCCCAATGGGGATTCCCTCCGATTCCCCTTTCATCCATTCTCCCTTACCTTGCCATGTACTTATAGAGCCTTGGGCTTCTTACCTAATCAATCATTTCAGCTCTTTTTCTTACATGGAATCAGAGCGACCTATTCGAACACGTGCCCGCGCTACGCACACCTCATCATTGCGACATTCATCTCGAGTCGTCGGAATTTTCGACGTGCTCCACTCTGCAGTCGCGCCTCTCATCGTCGACCGCCTTCGCGCTCGACCTCTTTGAATTTCTCACCTCTGAAGCTTTCACGCTTCTCATCGTCGATTTCCTCCTCGGTTCTCCTTGGTCGAATCTCAATTTCGACCACCTCTTAAAAACTCGTTTTTGAGTTTCCTCTCGGACGCCGCCAGCATAGGCGAACTCCCCTTGCACAATGGCATTCTAGAGAGCCACAACCACACCTTGGTTCAAATCGCTCGCTGCCTCCTCAGTCACGCCAACGCACCACGGTCACTCTGGGAATATGCCCTCTTCCATGCGGCTCTCTTCTACAATCTTTATCCGCATCCCCACCGGCCCGACACCACACGTACCACTCTCTGGCTTGGGGCCACGCCCTCCGACCCCTCTCTACGCGTCTGGGGGTGTACCGCATATGTGTTGCTGAGCCCCCACATGCGCAGGAAGCAAGGTGGCAAGCTTGGTCCCAAAACCCAGACCTGCATGTACCTGGGGCACAACTCCGATTCCCCAGACTACTTATTCCTCAACCCCATCACCAGATAGCTGATTCGAACCCATGATATCGTCTTCGATAAGACACGCCCCTTCCACTCTGCAACCATGGGCAAGCCTCGTCCACCTCCCCCGATGCTTGTATGGGCAGACTTCGATGCCCCACCTCCGGCCGCTGCCCCTTCTCCGAGGCCTTCTCCGTCCGGCGTGTCTCTCCCGGCCTCCCCAGTATCCTCCGCAACGGCACCTCCTCCTGCTCCGCCTTCCCCACGCGTCGAGCCCGACTCACCAGTCTCCTACCGGTCCCACCGGAGCTGCTTTCGTCTCCGGTCTCTAGCCGCACTCGTTCCAAGGGATCGGCTCCGCCTCTCGCCTGGGGACCAGCCGCCTTCTCCATCCGGTGTTCGTATGGAAGAGAATTGTGCACGATTTCGGATCGAATGTTATCTCTGAGACTAGCCATGCTGAGGCCAAAGATGCCTTAAGTCGATTGGTCCCGTCTTATCATGCTCTCCATGCCATTCCAAGCCTAGGCGGGACACATGGCTTGGAATGGCTTGGAGAGCATGAGTATGTTGCGCTGGAGTGACCCTTTTCTTCACCAAACCTCAACCTGAATATTTTTACCGAACAGTTATGACTTCTTCGACTGCTGCACCGTGATGAGACCTGCAGATCCTAGCGTGATTCTAATAGTGCAAGGGTGCACGATCGACCGTGCTACGATATCCTCAGTTTCGCGGCGTATACTCTAGTTTTCGTTGCTCTGTTCGTGGTTTTACCCTATAGCGATACCACGAAGTTGACCTTTGATAAGATCGAACCAATCGGGTAATGGTATCTTTGGTCACACCTCAGCGTGGCTAGTCACGAAGACAACATTCACTCAAAAATCGTGCACAAATTTCTTGCATACGCTCAAATCCTTTGCGATATTCCGAGTGCTCACCCCCTTATGCAAAAAGGTGGGTCTAGGAAGAGATCGAGAAGATCCCTGCAAAGCTTTGCACTAACCTCATAGACAACATGCCTAGGAGGGTGCGGGTGGTGATCAAGGCCAAGGGTCGGTGGACTAGGTACTAGAAACGCTGTTCGGAAGTTTACTCTTTGTCCTTGGAAAGAATTATCCGGATGTACTCTTTGTTTTGGCATATTGTTAGATCCAGTGTAATATTATGGATTTTAGCACTGTGAACACATCTACTAAGTGCCCCTCCCAAAGCGTACCACCATTAAACATAAGACTTTATGTACAGTGGTCGAAAAGCCCAAAAACCCTCATTAATGCAAAACATCATGACAATTGTTTCCGCCACTGTATGAAATCTTCGAAGCAGAAGCCAGCTGGATAGTTGCAACCGATCCCGCCGCCTGAGCGGGGGCTGCAGCAGGTGACGATGGACTTCGTCACAGGACTGCTTGCAAAGGACGGCTGTAATGACGCGATATTTGTCGTCGTCGATAAGCTGACGAAGATGGCCCACTTCGCCGCCTGCAAGGAAAGTATCTCAGCCAAAGAAACAGCCCGCCTCTTCATCCCAACTGTCGTTCACCTCGATGGAATTCCATCCGCCATCATTTTGGATCGTGACACAAAATTCACCAGTAATTTATGGCGCAACCTATGGGAACAGTTTGGCACGCGCCTGCAATTCTCCTCCGCCTACCACCCGGAGACTGACAGACAGACCAAACGGGCCAATCAGACGATGGAGGAGCTGATTCGCACCACCTGCGACGACTGGGAGCAGCAACTTCCACTCATTGAGTTTACGTATAATAATGCCCCGTCAACCACTACACGACAGTCACCTTTCTACCTGAA